CACGCACTTGAAAATAGGTTAAATATCTGACCTTTTTCCGCCCCAGAGAAGATTGAGATGATCTTGTTGCGAGGTTTTCTCTCTTCAGGCACAGATGGCAGAGGTTTAGAGCTGTGGTTGGCTGAGAGGGAGTCTTTTCCAGAGCCGGTGCTGAAGATGGTGCTGCTCATCCTGACTGGAGGGGCAGGGGGTTTATCCTCAGCGTCTCCGTTATCACACATCACTAAAGGTTGTTGTGAGCCTCACAGGGCTACGAAGGCAGGAGAGCACGGCAGGTAAGGATGGCAAACACAGAGGCGGTGAGGCAGCGCTCACATCAGCATGAGGCTCTGGTGTGGTCATGCACTACAGAAGTAGGGGCTGAAAATGACAGCGAATTGAGAGGAAGCATCCAAGGGTACCTGGAACAAAATCAGACATTCATCAGACCATAAACATGCTATAAGTATAAAGGGGTAATAATTGCAGCAAAAAGGCAATTTTTAAGGGTACAACTTTTCGCAAGGGTACAACAAGCAAACTCTAACTACACAACATTAAAATAATTCAGTTTTAACCAGATTCTTGAGTACTACTAGACTAAAAGTATGATGATTTCATCTAAACAACAATCCTGCTACATAATGTGTTGAGAGAAACTTGTGGATCACACACATGTTTTTTGGGAATGTCAGGAAACTAGCAATATTGGGATGAGTTAAAAGTTAGGATATGAACTATGCAATGGAAGTCATATTTTTTTTTACGTTTAGGTTACCAAACACAAGAAGGTCCTTAACCCATCCAACATCAGGACCAATATCTTATTACATTTCTAATAGTAGAACCCAGTTCTAATAGTAGAACCCAACCCAGAGCACAAGCACAAGAACAAAAGTGAAAGAGGACAAAAGAAGTGAAGTAGACTATGTAAAATAACAAATATAGCAGTATGTGGTGACTTTTTATCAAATAACCACACTAATATAAGCTGAATATATGTATATAATACAGGAGTGGGGGGAAACACCAGACTATTTGACATGACACACTAATGAGAGACAGAAAATACTACGCAAAGAGAAACCATACACACGGTCTGGAATGCTCATAGTCTCCTCTCATTATTTGAGCAGGGGTGAAATGTAACTAAGTACATTTATTAAAGCTTTTTTGTCCTAACTTATAAATATCTAAACAACTACGATACTACTAGTTTCAGAAGTACAGAGAGAGCATTTTTATCCAAGTGTTTTCTCTGTTGTGTCCTATGTGGCTACAGAAGAATAGATGAGGATACAAGAATAATGCCCTTTGCCCTTCTCACTGTTCGTTTCACACAGAAATCAAACGCGTAAACATGAGTGCTTTTTGTCAAATGATAAGAAATGTCAGCATATCGATGTTCAGACCAATTCCCACATATAACGGTATTCCTGCCCTTCAAATTAGTAACAACTGGGGCGGCTAGCAAGCTAACGTTAGCACTAACTACTTGGCCAACAAGTGTGCTAGCCTAGTAGCTAGAAGCTAACCTTAGCATGAAAAGCTTTGTGCTTACAATCCTACGAGATCAGCGTTTTGGCTAATAGTTACAAGCCTGACAACCACACTTATGGGTTTACTCCTGACACATTACAATTGACAATTGTTAGACACAGTTAACACAATACAACACTACATATGCTACACATTATCCGGTACAAATGTGGTTTATTTGCAGGCTAACTCACCCGATAATCCACACCAGAATAACTTGAATATAATTTGACTGCCGCTCGATCCGATTGGAAAACGTTTATAAATCCGTTATAAAGTACTTCCTTTGTGACATGGGCCCTTGGTGGTATGACACGCGTACAGATATGTCAGTAAATGTTGCTACAACTATTTACAATGCACATTTTCTTCTATCTTTTCGGTCATTGGATAAATCCGCTATGGCGAAGGGGAAGCGGAACTACCGACCCAGCCCCAGTCTATTCAATACATGTTTCACATGAATGGTGTGTGGAGTGTCTCCAAACATTATTGCTAACACTCAGAGCTTTAATTACACGTGTTTGACCATTGGAAATACTAAAAGCGAGTAACACACTGAAACACCTAACACTTGAAGTTAGATGTTGATTTAGGCCGCAAGGCATTTTAGGTAATGTAGTTCAACATTTACAATATGTGAAAAGAAGGCTGATTGATATATTCAATCAAGGTTGAGGTTAAAGATATAACAGCTAGGCCCAAATGCCTTTGAGCAATTCCTGCAAGCTATATTTGAATTAATTAATCTCTAAATCATAACAATGCTATGACCGTATGCAAATTCACATTAAGCAGTCAACATGTGATATAATGCCCTCCATACATATGGTATGGCTATTGCACGCCATTGACATCACAAAGCAAAATGCTGTGATGTTAAACTGTATTATCGAAATCATGTCAAGATCAAACCCTTTTTATATGAAGTATTATAGGGCTGCATATGAAACAATTATTTCTAACTACCTTATCGATAGTAATGTCTCCATTAGCTTTATAATCCTGCAATCATACTTTCCATCTGCCATTTTATAACTTCATTGTCAACACACTATGATAATTATCTTTAGTTTAAGATGAAAATCACAAAAGAGTAAACAAAATAGACAGAGAGAAGATACTTTGTTTTTATTATTCAGATTTTAAAATAGTGTTATTTTGCTCTTGGGATCATAAGCGTCATTTGTTCTGGGGACGCTGGGTACATGTCCCCACCACTTTTCGAAAAGACCAATTTTGTAAAAGTAAACACTTTTTCTAACAAGTGACACCCTTGCTTGGGATAAAGACATCCTAACAGGATTTGTGGCCATACCATGTACCATGATCCTGGTTCAGACACAACTGCATAATTATAGTATTGAGTTATTCAACACAAGATATGTTGACCATCAGTGTTTAAATGATGCGATGTTCCCACATGTGTTTGGACAGTGCCACACAGCAGAGCATTGTGACTAGAAGAGTTCCACCACACACAGGCCCGCACAAAGACCCGTCACCAACTGGAAACTGGACATTCACAGGGCCTCGCTCCTAAAGGATACAATATATTAAATTAAAAGGAAAGCAGCAATAGACAATAAGTATAAAATAAAGGCTAGAAATAAAATAGACTTTTTTACACTTAAAATGTGGGAGAGATTTACATAATGATACCTTTTGCTGATGCTGTTGTTTAACCCATTGACATGAGCTTGAATTGTGGTGAGTACAGGGGGCTTCCATGACATCATGAGGCTCTACATTGTTAAGCGGCATACCTTTAAGTGAGAACAATTTAAAGATTAAGACAAAAAACCCCACTTAGTTTCCTGTCTCTATCAACTGTATTTTTCATCCAATGTTTCTGATAGGAAAATAGAGAATAGGAAGGTCCTTTACTAGTCCATTATTGGTACATACACTAAACCTCAACTTAAAATATATCTTAAAATATTGTTTATATAGTTTCTGAGATGAGGGATGTGCATGAATACAGAAGTTATTATTAATTATTAAGTTAATTGACTCACATTTTTCAGTCCACAGCAGTAGCTCTGGAGGTTCTATTTCGACTGACGTAAACGTTTCGGCAACAAAAGAAGGCTCGTGGTAACGGCCGTGTATGGGAATCGTTACTTTTAGCAGTGTAGGAGTTGGTCCATCAGGGGTGGGATAAACAAAGGTGACAAATCCTGTAGTCTTGTGAGCAGGCCCCTCTAGGTCAATGGTTGAATCTAGTATGATCTAATAAGGGTGAATGCATACATAATCACATTAATAAAAAAATACAATTTGTACATGAACATGGATTGTATTATGATTTTCACAAATGTGCTATGTTAATACATAAATAAAGGTGAGTCAAGCCCATCTCAAATTTACCTTCCAATCACTTAGATCGCTGAGGGATGCAAGTTGGTACGGATCAACATAAACACCTCTAGGCCATCTATGAAGCAGCAAAACTCTGACCCCACTGTGCACATCAGGGCTGAGCTCAACAGTGGTTTCAACCTCCCTAAAACACATCAGAAATCACTTACTTATTACTTTTACAATGAGTGTTTAATATGATTAGAATTTCATATTTGCCAATACCTGTGAAAACCCCTTTTGATTATCTCCATTGAAACCAGTGAGGATTCAATCCAGTGCTGTAGAAGACCACAATGGTTCTCATTCTTCTCATCTATAAAAATATGTAGGTTTTATTAGTCAAGACCTGGCAGAGCAGACTTATTATTAGTATTACAACAACAACAACAACAACAACAGTCATACATGTATGTCTGGCATTATTTGTTAGTTCAGTTAAAGCCTTGTGATAGATGAAGATGCCATACAAGTGGATTTACAGTTATACACAAAGGGACAGGGAAATCATTTTTCATTTCAAACTTTATAGCAATTACTCGAAATCAATAAAAGAGCAAACATTTTAAAATGTTTCCACCTGATTGGCTGTCAGTTGCCTATCCTGCCAGACACTTTACTTTCAATGCTTTGGTTACAAAACGTATCTGTGTTAATCCGGTAAAGCTAGAAAGTCTACACGTAGATCAATACACCTTACCCCTTTCGATAAAACAATGGCATGACGCTAAACAAGCCAAAACAGACACAAGTACAAAATACATCCACAATAATAATGGTAAACTACAACAATTAGTTTACAGCCTGTGTTCTGTTGAACTGGCTACAGCTAAAATACCAAAAATGCCCAGCATTTCTTTCAAATTGTTTACGGAAAAGAATGTTGAAGGACCCTTCTGTAGTTAAAGGGAAGCTCAGATAGCGCCTGACTAGAAAGAAAAACAAAACGGTCAATCTGAGAAAACTCTGAGTAAATAATTAAGTATCAAAAGGGATTATGGTGACGATAACATATCAATCATAAACGTGATGCTGATTAAAATAATAAGAATTCGGGTATTATATTTCAATTTAGACAGGCTGCAGCCAAGACAGATAGGTTCACGTCTAACTACCGTTGGGCACCCTGGCAACCATAACGCGTTAGAGCTGTATGCAGCTCGTTGTTCAGATGCGTACAATTGAAAATGTATAACGTTTAAAATATGTTAGTCTTTTACCACTAGACTTAAATTGAAGACTATTTGAAAGTATACCGCTGCAGTAACTACCTGCAAATGAGTTTCGAGGCAAAGCGATGTGGAGTGCAGTTCAGTCCTCCCTCCATAGTTTTAATTTATCAACAAAAGGAAACCAAAGATGTGCGAAAAAGAATAATACCTGTGCGCAACTTCTCAAAATATTCTGGTAAGGCATTGCAGCTTTTCGCGACACCTTAGCTACTTTATATTTTTAACCACAGAGAACTCGTAGTTCCTTATAAGCTGTAACATATCACAATCGACGTATAAATGACCATAGCTGAAAAAATCAGGACCCAGTGCATACTTGCCAACCTTGAGACCTCAGAAATCGGGAGCATTTCAAAACCACCGCGGGGGGTGTTAGTGGATCGCCGGAGCTGTATTAGATTAACATTAACATGCTTATTGTAGTTGTAAGTGCACTGTGTTGCAGCCTGTAGCACCATCCTTGATGGAGCATATGTGTGAGCAGGAGAGGAGTGAGCAGAGGGTCGAGTTGTCGATTCTTGTTCAGTTTTCTGTGACTATCTTCCTCACCCTCTCAGACTTTCAGTTGCGCACGCTACTAAAGAGACGCGCTACCATGGAAACAAACAATGGTGTAGGCGTGTAGCTGTATTAAAGTCTGAGTGGAAACAGTGCTGAATAAATCAGATTTTGTCTGATTTTGCTACAAAGATGAATAACACAATTCCTAAAGGTGTTTAATCACATGACCACAATCTGACAGGAATGTTGCATCTGTTGCACTGTCCCTGGTGGATACACAAAGGCAACAGGATACATATTGCACACAAAATGTGGTTTAACAGTCAATAGGGCTCCTTAGCAGGTTGACCTTGTTACTTCCAGCAGTTTCAATCCTTGATGCCCTCTCTGTAACCTCCAGATTGTAGCATGGCTGCAGAGGGTCTGAAAAACCACCCTCGGCACAAAGACTACCTGGAGGGTGTATCCCAGAGCCAGCTGGAGAAGCTTCACATCATCCTGCGAGATCACATGCAAGGCCTCAGCTTGGAGCACAGCCTGGCCTCGTTCCGACTGGACCCCGATGAAGACCTGAACCAACTGGATGACGATAAGCTGGCTCGCAAGAAGGGCAAAATGGACGAACTGTTCGAGAAGAACCGGAAACACAAGGATGACCCAGACTTTGTTTACGACCTCGAAATGGATTTCACCAAGACCACCCAAGAAAAGTGCAGCTGGGATGAAGAGTCTGATGATGGATTTTAAAACTCTGTTCTCAAATACTTTCTTTGACCTTTAAGACTGCAAATCACCCAACAAACTGATACTCTATTTAAAAGAAAATCTGAGACAGCTGAATTTTACTACAACTACCATCTAAAGTCATACAGTAGTAACATGGGGAACTCCAAAGGAAATATCTTTTATACACTGAAGTATATACCTGCATTGCTATTTTGGAGGTATACATATATAAAACTAATGCTACAGATCTGCAATAAGTTCTACCTTCATTAGAAATCTAATAATACATCAGTCTTTAGTGCTTATGAGTTTTTAAAGATGCTTATATACACATTTGGATAAAATAAAATAAAGCGGTTTTAAATAAAAAAACATTACATTTAGGCAGTTACAGGTATAGTGCTTGTCATTGGCCCAACCTGTTAACATCAGTGAGGGTAGAGTAAATATAATTCAGACAAGAGCATTCAAAATGTAAATTACATTTAAACAGTTCCAACAAATAATGACCATTAGAACCTTCATAAAGGTTTGCTGATGTACTGTTGTATTACATTTAATTTGTAATTAGACATACCTAATCAAAATGCATGTTTCCATAGTTTTGCAACAGCTACAGCTTGATAGGAGTAGAAGGGAATAGTGTCTGAGAAGTAGAATAAGACTCCAACTACAGAAAGACATTTCAGTATTCAGTCAACATTTGATGCGATTAACAAACAGCAGCCGTAAAGACAGTAGGTACCTGCATTTGGTACCACCGGGGATAATACACGTTCACAATTAAAACAGCAACAAATTAAAATATGCATCATTAATAGCAAATATTTATTTGTTATAAAATACAGAATTTTACAAAATACAAAGACTTTGGCTCGTGTATTTGTGGCTTACACCTACGCAAGTGATATTCACAGTTGAATACGAAAGAAGATGCTAAAATCCTATTAAATACAATTTGAGTGTACACCAATACAACATATATATCTTTGGAAAAACTGTGTCCACAAAATATTGTCTTGTATCATACAAAACATGGGTATATCATTCTATATGGTTTGAAGCGACGCACTATGGCACAATTTTAAATGAGATAAACTATATCATAAAATCAATCCTGCAGCTTTCAACCTCTTCAGGGAAAATGTTCATTCAAAGTGCATGATACCTCATTCAGTTAACATGAGACACTGACTGACTGGCCATTAGTACCACATTACATTCAAAAATGTCACAGGTTCTTTGAAAACAAATCCAAAACAAACGTACGTTGATTTCTTGTTTTGGTTTAAGATATACAGAATTATTTTCCAATGTTATCAATTGCAGTCATTTATGCAGTGCTGATGTATTCCCTTAGGAGGTAACTGAAAATATGACACATAATTCCCTTTTCCACCAACGTTTGGTAAGGTTTTAAGGTGTTTAAAATTGAATATTTCAGCAGGCTGTTAATTTCTTTAAAAAAATAGTTATTTATAAAATTGATATTTCAAGTAAGCTCAAGCCACAATCCAAGATGTCTGAGTACGTTAGTAGCGGTAATATACATATTATATGACTCAAGAGGAAGGACTTTCTGATTGGTAATCATTTGTTCAGCTTTTAACTCCACTGCCCGGATCAAAGAACACAGAGTGGACAGATCATATTCGGGTGAATTGATGAAAAATGGTGCCACAGGTAGAGCTATAGTCCAAATTAATATTATACCTTTAAAAGCTGTGTAACCCACAAAGTATATGGACGGTTGTAGTATCTGAAATATATATTTTACACTATTAAATGGAAAATTCACCCCAAATAAAAAATGCACAAGTTTCACTCTGACGTGTAGTTATATTGATCAATATAGATTGTTTTGATGCGAGAGTCAGCTGAACAAATCAAACAATCTGTTAATTTTTCTTTCCACAGCATAAAAAGGAAAGCGTACATCTACTTATGAATGAGGCTCTGGTGAGGCAGCTACTATTACAGCTTAGCTGAAGAGGACGCTTATTATCTCAAGCGTCACAACCACCAGGTATCATTTGGTTGGACGGTGTAGTTGGGTACAAAGATATCGCTACGGCAACTTGAACCAAAACAATCCAGATTGATAAATAGCACATAGGGTAAGAGAAAACATATGCATTTTTGATTTTGGGATGAACTATCCCTTTAACCTACACAAAAATACATACATTAATAGTTAAGCAGTTAGAAACCTCATTTTTTCTTCTTGTCTTGGGTGCACCTCGGACAAAACCTGAAAGATTTGAGAGGGGAGCGTTAAAGATGTTTGAACATGGAGCACAATCCTGACTAATATGCATTAACAATGATTGTGGTTTTTTCAACTCTCGGCTAACATCCTGTAACCAATTGAAAGTTCTTACCATTTTCCTTTTGGTTTTGAGGCGAGGTCAACACAAGCAAAATGAAACCACTCAATCGGACACTGAAGGATGAAAAACAATGTCAGTATGAATAATCTCTCATCAAAACATGCAGTCAAACTGGTGTTGTATTAGAGAAACGTGTCAAATTTCATTTAAGCGAGAAAGAAAGCTATTAAAACAACCCAGAAAACCTACATCTGGGTTATCGCATCCAATCATCTCTCCGTATGACACCTGGTGGCACAGGCAGTACGTCGGCTCATTGGGATCGACTGGCATGTCCAAAACGTCTGATGGTTGCATCGGCAAGAAAGTGTCGCTCAACTCTGGGCTAGAACACAAATATAAAACAGAGCACGATTAGAATTAGTTATGTGTCTTCTGTATTAAAACAGTTATGAATTATAAAGGCTTGATACAAATGTGTAGTGCAGAATCGTTAGCAGTCATTGGCAACCAGTCCAAAAGTACCTGTTTTTTATCTTTTTCTTTTTGGGAGAATCTTCATCAGAACATTTCTTTGCCCTTCCTCTCGATGCACGCTTTTCTTTCAGCCCTCTGGATTCACCCTCTGTGAAAAGAACATTTACATTAATAGATGTTCATCGTTCTGTTTTGTCTTTTAGGAAAGCTTTTCAGAGACCCAACATACTTTTCACTGCTCTTCCTTCTGTACTTTCATAGCCGCTCACTTCCAATTTCTCCTTTAGCTCATTCTCAAAACGTGCCAGATCTGCATCAAGTCTACGGATATGTTTGTCCACCTGCAGTGAAAAGATTTTACGTAGATTAGAATAAGAACACAAATGTTTATGCATGCCGTCAATTGACTTTTTTTAAAATAGAAAATATGTACGACAGTGAAGAGGAAGACATAGAACTGACTGACTAACGGTCAATTCTATGATTTTTGGACTGACCATTTCATATGTCTGCATTGCAAGCTGGACTTTGTCATCGCTGAACTCTTTGCACTTGCTGTAGGCATGTTGGATCTTCTGCAGGTGTTCCACTCTCTGCTCAGAGGCCAGGTTCTTCACTTTTGCAATGTACTCCTGAGCCAGTTGGTCAATCTCGCCTTTCTTTTCTGCAAAACAACATGATTATTACAATACAGGAATACCAGTATAGATGGGATGATGTTTGCGTTGTTATTGATTAACTTGATGGGATTTAATGGTCACCTTCAGTCCTGTTGTCAAGGTCCCGCATTAAAGTAAAGTTTCTCTGTAGCTCACATGGCAAGTTTTCAATACCTAAAAAAAGGAAATCACCATAAGTATGAAGGAGACATAGAGAAAGATAAAGACATTTTACATATGGGTGTTTACCATTCAACTTTCTTTTAACTTACAAGAACACAACATTTAAAACATTTATACATTACAAAAACACAGTACAAGCTGTTAAAGTTAGGTTGTTTTGGAGTTTAATTGAATAACGTTATTGTTCAATCCTTTAGGTGAGTCAAAGCTTACAGTACGTGTACGTGACGTAATTCAAATACCCCGCCCCGGCGCGTAACTGCTTACTGGAAACGCGGCTTATCAACAGGTTGCAAATACATGGTGCCTGCCTTCCTACAGCAATCACACATTATGACTAAAATGAGCATAATTTGAACATGTAATAATATTGACTGTGACGACAACATGCAACAATAACAATCTTATAAAAAGCAGTGCTCGTTTCTAGGTCATCTAGATAGCTGTTGTAACAGAACCCGTAGTAAACAGTAACCGCTCACGTTAACTACAAGTGGTTACTGTTTAATACTCTACATTGGTCCAGATAATTGTTAGATCACAGAGAGTGAGTGTAGCACTAAACAGATACAGTTTGCGCAACTTTGTACCACCGACGGCGATGCTAATAGCTAGCGAGCTAGTGACCGAACAGATGCTAATTCGCACTGGGCTGCTATCTGCCTGTCCCCTATCAAGCACAAAAGTATCCAATACAGGAAAACTCAACCTCAAAGACACGGAAGACGCTTTAAATGTTAATACTAGATTGTATATCCGAATACTCACTGTCAAGATAATGTTCCAAGTATATTGCCGTCGCCATTTCACGTTAGCTGTGTAGCTTTTGTGGTATTCTCGTTAGCACGGTTAGCTCGCAAACTGTTGGCCGGAGAGTTGATAGGCTTGTTTTATAACCCTGGGTCGCCCGGCGGACAGTCGCTTGGAGACAATTGATTGCAGTTCAGATTCCCTGTGCGGCAGTGAAACTATGCTCTCAGTGCTGCAGTCACGAATACTGAGTTTCCCCCCAGTGCACACACAGGATGCAACTTTTTTGCTAGCGTTTCGCATGCGCATCGGAAAGCCTTATCTCCAATGGCTGTGTGCAAATGTGTTAATGTATTTAAATTAATTCGCCTGTCAATCATAAACCTGATTATTGATATCAATATGCAGGGTACGCATCCGATCGTAACTGCTACAGTGCTTACTACAGCGAATGTATCTAATGTACTTGATCACACTTCCCTTTGCTCTGTGTGTTGTTGACTCGATTTAGTGCACATCTAATTTACCCAGGGAAAGATAACCCGAAGGACTGTTAGACTTGTAAACAACTATATTCCAATTATTTGATGGCGGGGGCACTGCATTAGGTCGATAAGGTCCAAGTATACTTCGGTGTGAACCATATTGGACCTCTATTTACAAAAAGTCAGCCTGCTGCACACCATGTGGGCGCGACGTGAACTGACAAACGAGCGCGCCCTCGCTGGGTTTGCTCGCACTTTCCAACTCTGTCAGCTGATAGGTTACGTCATTCAAAACAAACGCCTCCTTCTTGAAAAGGGATTGAACGTTTGCGAGGATGCGCCGCGGGCGGGGTTTAGGGCAACAACCGTAGAGCTCATAGCTGCGGCCTGCAGGCTGTGAACACTCTCTTTATGGTTCAGGCTTTTTTAATCCAAGGAGGGCATCTCCTTTTTTTTCGCATCTTACTTCCGTTTTTGCTGTCTCCTCACAAACGGCTCATCTTTTCATAAAACCTATACAATCTTCAAGTAAGTAACGAAATAAGACTTCGCCATTATCAAATAAAATACTGTTGTAAGGAGAAGTGTCGGCGTTTTTAGCTAACTTTAAATTAGCGGTTAATAGTCAGCTTGCTACTCACTTGCTTTACCGTTAGCTAACTTCGACTAGTGTAAGAGAAGAAACACAACAGCTCAACTTATTTGTGGCTTCAAGTCATTACGGGGTTACATGCTTCCCGTAACTTCATCAGTATTGCACGTTAGCTCTGCAGTCCAACTTGTATTAATAATAAATGAGGATGACCTATTCACAACTGGCCTATTGTTAGGCCATCTAGCTAAAGGTGCCTCGAGGACCAACATAACAAACTACCAAATGTTTGCCAAAACAGGATGTGATATTCCTGGCAGTGACAATTATCTAACATTATCATCGATTAACGTTATTATTGAATGCCATGGTGTCAAACGTATTTGCTCTTTAGAAGTGGCAAAGTAAACATTCGTGATAATCTTGATAATCTGAGACTCTAAATCAATAAACTGAGTCATCTGCAAAGAAGGCCATCCTGTTTACGTGTTTAAAGTGTATCTATTTAACAAGTTCTGAAAATGTCATTGTGGATTTATGCTAACAGTCACGAGGTATGTTTAACTATGCCACGCCCAGCCATCACCCCTAAATTTGTCATAAATGACAAATACTGACTGATACTTACATACTGTATATTTAATTGTTTTAGGTGTCACCTCCAAGATGGCTATGGTAAAGAGTGGTTGGCTCCATCGACAAAGTAAGTAAACTGTCACAGTCCTAACAGATTACCATTTGGATTTAAGGCATTACCTCCTGTGGTATTTGGTTTGAGATCTTGTATAATGCAATTCTGTTTGTTTTTAACTTGCCTATTTTGTATTTTCAATAAAGGTACCATACTGCGCCGGTGGAAAAAAAACTGGTTTGACTTGTGGGCTGATGGACGACTTGTGTTTTATAATGATCAACAACGGTGTGACATGGAGGATGACATCCACATGAGGGTGGACTGCATTAACATCCGCAACTCTGCCGCTTGTCAAGGTACTTGTCATCTGTTTCATGAAGATGTAATTGGCTCGTATTCAGTATGAGTTTCACCAACTAATGTTCATATTTAAAAAAAAAAATGTGTCACCTCTCTATTTGTTCTGCTTCTCAGAGCTGAACCCACCGGAGGGGAGGATGCGTGATGCCTTGCTGCAGATAGTGTGCAGAGATGGACGGGTCATCAGCCTGTGTGCAGACAGTGCAGATGATGCTCTGTAAGACTCTCTTTCTGTTTCTGTATTGGTGAAGTTTAATGTTTTAGTTTTACTGTGTTATATTTTCAGAATAGAGGACCTTCCACTAAGAATCTTGCAAAAGCACCGCTTTACATTTTGTGTTTATGTGTGTATACATGTATTGTAAATAAGTCATTCAGCATTTTAAAAAAAACAACGAACCAAGTAAGGACATCTTGGTCAACTAAGACCTAAATGACTAAGAAGTCCTCTGATTGGCTGAGAGAGGGAAGACTTATTTCTGTCTAACATGTTATGGTTCACACTTTGTGTTGCAGGGCATGGACCATGGCACTTCAGGATGCCAGAATCAATGCAGTGAGTTTCATCTTCTATTAGTTGGTCTGTTTTAATCGACTTTATTATGAAAATAAATAAATATTGATAATATATTTTTTCAAAGATTTAAGGCAGTCGTCAAACATGAAACTGGAAGTCAGATATATTTCTTCATTTGATTCTGGCTTTAGAATAAACAGTTTTATTAATGATCATTCTCAGCTTTTAGTTCATCTCATTTCTGGTGTTTTAAAAAATTGTTTAGGTGGTAGCTACCCCTCAAATCGGCTATGCACAGGAAGTGATGGCAACTGCTCCTCCCCCCTACTCAGAATATGCTCCCCCACCACAGGTAAAATATATTTACATTATTTATGTTGTGTCAATTTTGTAAACATATTTAGATTAATACTGTTTTGTTTTTTTTAACCGGTAATATATTTCAACCCTGGAAATGATTTTTACTTACCATAATTAACTTGCACTGAAAGTCACATTTATTTACATTTTATGTTTGACTGCACATTAAGGCTTGGTTTTGCTTGCAATGGAAACAACTGTTACTACATAAGAACAAATAAAGTTGGGCCTTGTACCATCTACTGGTGTTGTAATGGAAGTGTATAAGCAGGGAAAGCAACAATTAATCAAATCACTCCTTTAGTAATGTGACAGGCTTGCTAGTACTGGCATCTCTAAGATTAACAGTGTTTTTATGGTATGTCTTTTTTCAGCAGGGTTATGCCCCGGGTCCATATGGAGACTATGTTGCACCTCCACCACATGCTACACAGATCGTATACTCTCCGGATGGGCAGCCCTACGCTGTAGCTTATCCCTATCAGTACCAAGGTAAATGACTGCACATGTAGCATATGTGTGTAACGATCCATTAATCTGGATCAATATATTGATGTAATGATCAATGATCCCATACCACCACCAATGCAAAGTTAAAACCTCAATTAATATCATCTTTAAAACACATTTATTTAGATTTTGTTTAAATGATAAAAAACATTTGAACTTAAATATGAGAAATGATTATGTACAGTACACAACAGGATGTCAATCCTTTAAAAATAGTTGATTTGTTTTCATTTAAATGCCTCATAATAAAATTATCGTTACATTATTGCTATTGTTCTAGGTGGATATCCCGCTCCTGGAGTGAACCACGTTGTTATTCGGGAACGCCAGCGCGAAGACGGAGGAGATGTGGCTTTCGGTATGCTGGCTGGAGCAGCGACTGGTTTAGCTCTGGGCTCTCTCTTCTCTGTCTTTTAGTGTGGTGATTAATGTACATTTACTAGCACACACCCCCTGTATTAGCAGCATTTGGCTTCTTCTCTGTGCCATCACATGAGTCGGAAGAAAATGTGTCTGTTGGGCTACTTTCATCTATGAAGCATGATTGCGATGGGCAGAGAAACACTCCCAATGTGTTCTATATATATCTACACACAGTAAACACTGTTAGCACTTTGTGGCAATTTCCCAACCCGTTTGTGTTGTCTGGATATGATTTTTCTTAACCAAAAATACAACATTTACTCACTTTTTTAAGGGTTATTTCAATGAAAAGCAAGACGCTACTCCTTTTACTGTAAGTATTGCACAGATCAGGTCCTCGCTATTTTCAAGTTTTGTTTGTTTCATGGAGCACAATATGTTTTTTTTTAATATTTGCAGAATTATCCTAAAAGCCATCAATTGTTTTATTTAAGTTGTTCTTGTCTTACTTTTGCCTTTGTGTACTCTACCTTTTCTTTGTTTTACACTTGATATTTGGCTATTTTGGGTTGTGAGTATGCAGTGTTTCTCAGGTTATTTGTGGTGGAGGCACTCGAGATGAGAGTTGTGCAAAACAGGACCGCACACACAAAAAGCAATAATCATTTACATTGTAGCATTTTGAGGTACGTGTTAGGAGGAATCTTGCTGGGATGAATGTCTGATGTTGCCACCACCACAAATAAGTCTTTGTACGAGGGAAACACTTGCATTTACACGATGTGCTTTGATGTGAAAAGGGACGTCACTCCTCCGAACTCATATTTGCAAGCATTATTTATTTTTCGTTTTTCATTGGCAGCTCTTGAACCATGCCTTTCAATTTGTGTTTGAACATATAGTTTGGTTTTTATTTCAGTAAGCTTGGTGTGATATGCACAAATACCAATCGGTATCTTGAGATTCTCCAATTAAATATGTTACTTAAGACTTCATTTATTCAGTAAGAAATAGCAACTTCTGCTAAATAGAAAACATGTTTGCCTTTATCTATAAAAACACTTCATATCTTTACTGATTACATTAACGGAAGAGATGTTCAAGACTTCAAATTATGAGCTTGTGCAAGCAGCGTAACATTGATGTCAGTTTTATATATATATATATCTTAAAGTGTTAAAGATTTAAATTGACATGTTGTATTTATCCTATCAAATGTACTAAATAAAGTACCATCATTTAGAATATATATGGCAATTCATTAAGAGATGTATTTTAACAATAAATATATTCGTAACATTAATAAAGACTCCTGTAGTTTTGTTTGAGTCGTTTATTCAACCCGGAGACTTTCGTTCACAGAACATGTCAGAATACAACAAAAGTGCAAAAGGCCACCAAAACCAGTTTCTTTTATATAACCACTCAGTAAGAAAGAGAAACTTGATATACAAGACATTTCAAACCAACTGAGCATAATGACAGGATCTTAAAGTGATTAGGAACATAAAGTTAACACAAGGTTTAAAGGTTGAAACTATACTGTAATAGTGAAAATTCAGCAACTCACAAGAAAACCAGAAGGCCCTTTTAAAGTGGTTAATGACAATTTGTATAGAGAAATGCAAACAGCTACTAAAAGGTTATTTAAATGTTTAGAAGAGTAACTCTTGTTAAATTTGACGGTATAAATACCCATTTATTAAAGCCAACCACCAAACTGATTCTGTTAAGCAAAATATAATCCCCCTTAAACTATAAGAAGAGGTATGTAGTGTTGAAAATGTGCATTTACGAAATTCAGCATCGTTATCTGCTATTTTCGAACAGTGATGATAAAGGTAGCTCTTAAACAAATAAAGAATATTATCACTGACATGCAAATAAAACCAATACGTAAATAAAATATGTAAACATGAGCAGTTTGAAAAATGTGTGACAGGCGTACTAGTACATAAGCAGTTGATTATTTAATTGGCAGAAAATCCTCAATTAAAGTTGTTAGTCAATTCTCCAGGAAAAACAGCAACTTTGTCTTTAATTAAACCTCAATATTAGCTTGCTTTCTGTTGGCTCACATTCCTGGGAAATATTTTCTTTGTCTTATTTTTGTAGCAAAACAGATTAAGAAGCAAGCGTAACTGACATTGAAAAATAAGGGTTATTTGCAGTTTCATTGATGATTAGAATGTGTATTATTAGCCTTCTTGACCAAAATCCTCAGTAAATTTCCTCAGCTTCCCCAAATCCTCCTCATTCACCGTGGGCTTGGTGCTTGTCAGTGACCTCAGCATGTACGGCTGCACGGGAAAAAACACAGAGGTCACAATAAATGCTGAGCACTGCAGTCATCTGTGTTTATCAATAACACTGATCGACACCACATGCACATTGTTTTCCTTCATGGGGAACATTTGGAGTTTATTCTTACCATGGACACAACTGGCTCTAGAAGTTTCTCCCCAGGAACGTCCATCCACTTCATCTCTATGGCGTTGGGATCGCTCGGTAAACATGGAGTCAGGAGGTCGTCCACCTCAACGCCGGGTTCTTTCCACGATGACCCACTCACCTAAATCAAGAAGAGTTTGAGTGTGAGTGAATACATTCTGAATATTTTTTCATACACTCCGACAGGCTAGTTAAGTGTGTGAATGAGAAATATTTTAACTTTTTAGTATCGTCTCAATACGATTTAGAATAGGAAAATATTTGTTTGTAATTATACAAATATTTTTGACCGTATACCTCAATAATGATTCTAGAGTTGGCCATTGGTGCTTTTTTTTACAAAATACTTACAATGACAATTTTGCTTTATAATCATCAGTAATGTGGATATAATGACTGTCAAAAATGAAGTCACTTGACTGTTATGGCAGCTTTAAAACCAGGAAAACATTTAATTTATGCCATAATACGATAAACGACGATTTATAATATTGATTTCTGTCGCCTGCTGCAACAATGTTGAGTCATTAAGTCCATGAAGATGGTCCTGACGTCCACTAGAATGGACATTTATAAAATAGCTGCGATTTCAAAACTTGAAGTATTGAATTGCTTTCAGAACTAATTATATAGTTCCTCACATGTAAATAAACAAGAACATATATGATTTTCAGATTAAAAATAACAATTAATCAATAATATTTGACTTCTCCTCCCGCTTCTATAAAATGTTGTTTTTGGTATGTCAGCCATTTTGGATGAAAAGACAGAGGAACTTCCCAGCATGCAATTTTAACCAATGACATATCACTGGAAAGACCAGGATGTCCTCTGTACAACACATCAGGGATTGATAGAGTAGCTCAAAAGAGTAAAAGGAGATGCATGTTAACAAAATGTCCACTACAGTGGACATGTATTAATGGGCTGGGTCCCAGGAGGATATGGATAACTTTTCAACGATAATTGCTTTAGCCATTCAGACATTTGTATTATTTTGAAACAACACAATCCTGCTGGATTCCCAAAATACCTTTTCATTCAGTTTGGACAAGTATGAATAACTGGTGATCGGCCACAGTGTTTTTACCTTCTTGAAGTGAGAGGTAGACTGCACCTCCCTGACAGGCTGCATCAGGGCGTCCCTAACGATAACACTGATGTCCGCCCCAGAGTAGCCCTGGGTCTTTTTGCCCAGAATGATGAAGTCTGCCTCTGTCAGGTCGTTGGGGGTGGAGCCCAGATGCAGCTTGAACATGAAGGAGCGGGCGTGCTCCTCCGGCAGAGGAATGTAGATTCGCTTTTCAAACCTAAGACCCAGAAAAGAATCATGAAGCATTACATCTATTAAATCATGATTGTCATGACTTGCTGACAATTTTACTTGTACAAGAGAACTGCTCTGACAGCGTTCCTCTTTTGCAGTGGAAGGAGATAATTGATTTTGTACCTACAGAAAAGATGGTAGAGTCGTGTGGGACTGTGTGGTGCCTTTGGTATTCTTGATGCAGCGTATATCATTTAATAAGAAGTGCCACATGACACTAAAACAAGTTTAAGACCTTTATGTATAAATTATAAAGTAACATTACAAAAGTAATTCGAGACAGCTATTTGCAGGCAATAAATGTGTATTAAAATAGTAGTTACAAATCTAAAAGGAAACACTGTTATGTGTAAAAAGTATCATGGAAAACCATCAGGTAGTTAAGTTAATAAAAAATTATAATAAAGTAATCTTAACATCATCATGACTTAACCTTATGGAACCATACATTCCCAAATTGCACGGTAATTGAATGATTGTAGAGGCATTATTTTTCATAAGTGAAACTAACCTTCTCCTGATAGCGGAGTCCAATGTCCACGGTATGTTTGTAGCTCCCAGCACCAGGACTCCTTCATTATTAGTTCCAACACCTGAGAGGAGAAGGGCATTTCTTTCACTTCATAAACAAAGTACTGCTGGCAGATTTCAGCTAAGATCCTCAAGTTATCTCTTCTTACTCACCTTGCATCTGGACGAGGAACTCCGTCTTGATTCTGCGCGCTGCTTCACTCTCGTTCTCACTCCTGGAGCCGCAGAGAGAGTCGATCTCATCGATGAAAATGATCGATGGCCTATTTTCCCGGGCTAAAGTGAACAGGCTCTTCACCAACCTGGATTAAGACAGAGGGCGGGAACAATAAATGTGTATTGTGCATTTATCATAATCCCAGTTTCACCATAATGTTATCACCCGGCCTTACTTCTCACTTTCCCCCAACCACTTGGACACGAGGTCAGAGGAGGAGACGGAGAAGAAGGTGGAGTTGTTGGCTTCCGTGGCCACTGCCTTGGCCAGATAGGACTTCCCTGTTCCTGGAGGGCCGAACAGAAGGATCCCCCGCCAAGGAGTTCGCTTTCCTACAATAATAGATACCGTATTAATAAATACTCTTCATTTTCAGGACCTGTTGTTGGGTCTTGTTTCTAGTACCTTGAAACAGATGAGGGAATTTGATGGGCAGGATAACGGCTTCCTTTAAGGCTTCTTTGGCCCCCTCAAGTCCAGCTACATCGTCCCACATAACGTTTGGCTTTTCCATGACAATGGCACCTGTAAGAGAGATGGGTTTGATAAACATTTATTAGGCATTAACAATTTTATGAATTGTCATGCAATGATGATGATGTTTTGCCCAACATATTTCACTGGTGCATCTGCCTCTATGTTCACTTAATGTAATCACCTGAGAGTTGATTTTGGAACTTCTTTTTCTCAGCGTCATCCCCATCAGCATCCTCTCTGAATTTAAATGACACCAGACGGCATTGTGGTTTATTGACACTTTGTGGAACCATAGACAATGATTTGTATTGTCTAGGGGGGTGTTGACTAGGGATGCATACCGGTATCCGGTATTACCGAAATACCGGTTACTGGTGGCTACGGTATACCGTACCGAAATCAGATCGGATTTCGATACTTTAAAAAAAAAAAAAAAATGTAAAAGTTAATTTTAAAAGTGAGTCCGTGGCCCGTGATGGCGGGTGTTATAAATTAGATTGCATATTCGTTTTTCTTCATATTTTATGTATTTTTCATTGTTTGTTCAATACTAGAAAGGTAAAAGTCCCACAAATGAACTGTGATGGGATTTGTTTTCTCTCACCAGTGAAGGTAAATGTTGATTTTAAAGATGAGATTTGTTTGTTTGTGCAATGCCGAGATCTCATGACCTTTATTCTATTATGTATTTGTTCTCTAGTCGAATCTCAGGTTTAACATTAATTATAACGGTGCTATAACGGTCTGTTTGCATTGACAAGATGTGCTATTCACGCGGCACACCTGATGGCGGGTATAAAATATATTCCATAATCGGTTTTCTTCATATTTTTTATGTATTTTTTATTGTTTGTTCAGTACTAAAAGGTCCAAGAAGTCCCACAATTGAATTTAATATTTATTTGACATGTTAACTATATCGTAAAGCGCTTCATGGGAGTAATTGTGGGATGATACATTTTCAAAGTATCACGATATGTATCGGTT